TGACGTCAATTTGTTAAATTTCACAACCCACGTCAAGGTTACCGTATAAACGGCAGTGACTTGAATTGCTACTGGAGATCTGAAAACAACGGACGCAAAGACACAGATTTGTCTATACTTCAAGTTTTATTGAAACTTTATGAGTCATTCTAATATCTCTTTATCTTGTTCCGTTCTTCTTTTGTACGCAAACGTCGTTTTGGTCAGCTTGTAATGTGAAAAATCTGTTTGGAAAAAGGAGAGAGGAATTACAAATTATTAAAGAAAGTGTTGAATTACATCAGACTTAAGAAAGCTTAGCATTCCATGCCAAATCAAAAGACTAAAAGCTAGTCAAAGAAAACCTGTTCCTTTTCCCGAGCTACAAAGCTTACAGTTTTTATGACTCGCTGTCAAATTGAAGTTCTCGATGGCACTCTCGCAGTTGACTTGTTTTTCATTACACCGCTGAACAGGTGCTGTTGGCTATCTCGCTTATTTTTATCTTAAATGTGTTTCCAAGAAACTGTTCATCAGAATTTTACAGCGAAACAGCCAGTTGCATCTGCTCAGAAGACTTGAGCGGTGTAATGAAACACAAGTCAACTGCGAGACTGTCATAGAGTTTTTTTTATGACTCATTATGGAATTACCGTAAAAGTAGAGCCTACATCAGGAGATAAGTTGTTTGTATTTTGTTTAAAAGTTAATACAGAGAAACAAAGGGCAAGCTGGAATGTCAGTAAGGCTTTTAAAGCTTTTAAGTTTTCTTAAGTCGCTTCGAAGAATTATTTTTGTGCAACTTACATTCTTATTGAAGTTCACATGAAGCTCGCAGTACATTGTTCAGTCTTACAAAGAGGTCCTCGAACTTGTCAACATGGATCACATTTGCTCTTTTGCCATTAGCAATTTCTTTAAGTTCGCTATAATCGATGCCAGAACCAACTCCAACGGCAATCAGCTTGACCTTTTTACCCTGGAAAATTAATAAAAAAGATACATGATGACAATTGGTTTATGCCGAAAACATTTACAAAACGCAATCAATTTTCAGATGAAATTTTAACAGCTACGCTCTACATAAAAACCGCCCTTCACGTTTGGACAAAGGAACAAAGAAAAGAACGTTTAATTAACAGACAAAGGATGTGTACGTGGTGTTTCATTCGCGTCATGCCTTAGGCCCTGACTTTATGTCTAGACGCTGACTGCTAAAAGGATCCCTTGTTTTCTCATATTGATCCAAAAAAATATAACCCTTGTTCCCTTGATATAAATGATCTTTTTCCCTTTATCCCCCGAACCCGCGGGAGGTAGGGCCCTCGTGAGAGCTAAGCCATATTTGCTATGTCTATAATTGCTAGCAGATCAAAGAAAACCTTACACAACCGTTAGTCGAAAAAAGAAACCTCCATAAGGGTTATCATTAACAAAACAGGAACAAGAACTGTTAAGACTAGGGAGATAAAGACGGATTGAAAAGGACAAACTTGAAAATACACTTATAGGGTACACACTCCATGATGCGCCAGCCTTGAGGTAGCTCTTTAAATTGAGCAAAATATAGAATAAAAAATAGCATACTTACAATTAGTGGTCTTAGAACTGTGCTGTAAGCTTTGCTTCCACGGTTCGTCTTTCCGTCCGAGATTACAACAAGCACGTTCGGTTTATCTCCGCGGTCTCCACCACCTGAACTGAACAGTCCAGAGTTGGCCATCTCGAGGGCGATGTCCGTGCGCGTTCCTCCTCCGGTGTACGAAATCTTGTCAATGATTCCGCTCATCGCGGATGGAGTCTGCGCATGCACGTCGCTGAATTTGACAGCCAAGTGTGCGCTCGACTGGTACGCGATGATTCCCACACGTGTTCCACGAGAAGAGATCTGGAGTCGGTGGACTAGGGTGCGAACAAAGTTCTTGGACTTTAGAAAGTTTGCAGAACCAACAGATCCGGAGCGGTCCATAATGATGCCCACGTCCATAGCGTGTTGACAAGGTGGAGCAGGGGAGTCTGTTGAAACGAAAAGACATTTCCAAAGTTCCAGTTTCAATTCCTTAACTTGATATACTGCCTTGTTCTCTTAACGACTCTTTCATGTCGTCTTACGTGATTAGAGCTTCACTAAAGGAGCATTACCCAAGTGTTATTCCCAACTTACTTTAAAGGGAATCTTGCATGAAACGCAGTTTTCTTAAACTTCCAAAGTGTACGTAATGTTTCTTTTAAACTGATTCTGGGGTTTTAGGTTGATATCGCTGTAAGTGGAAATTTATGACGTCATTGGGCGGTTAGAGATCTCAATATGGAGTCTACAGAAGATTTCGCGTTGGAACTGAACATATTCATCCGGCATATGAATTATAAACGATTAGAATCACTTTTTTATTTATTTGAACAAGACTGCCTAGCCAAGATTCTCTTTAACGACTGAGTTAGTTCCCACAGGAATCACTCACTGCAAACATTTGCATCACTCGTTCGTTTACTGCATATGTACTCTTCCACTTTGGCTTACAGCGCCCATAAACGTTCCTGTATTTCTGTTACTAGTTTACCAATAAAATTAAGGCAATTTGCAAATTTCCGTTATTTAATTCTCCTCTTACCTGGTTCGCAAGATGCAAACAATACATTGTTTTCGTTGTTGACAAGGTCGTCAAATTTATCAACGTGAACGACATTTTCACGTTTCCCATCAGCGATCTCTTCCAATTCGTCAGCATCAATTCCTGATCCCACACCTACAGCTATCATCCTGACTTGCTTGTTCTGTGTAATGAATTGAGGAGGTCATTAATCACTTCATTTGATGGAATTGTAGAATTATCATCTTATTATTGAACATATTTCTGTTTTTTGTGTGCGTAAACACGATCACACAAGCAAACCTATTGCCTTGAACTAAATCGTGTGTAAAAAAAGGATTGTTGTTGTTGCTTCTGATATAACCAGCCTAACTGTTGTTTAGTTTTCCTGTACCCTAAATAAGGCAGTTACGAGGAAACGAAAGTCATATTTTTGACTTTCTAAAACACAAATTTCCTTTTACCAGTTCTAAACGACTCATGGTACGACTTCAATTCACGTCAAAAAGGTTTTGGTTCTGACGCAAATTAAACGCTATAGCTTGCAATGCTGGGTCGAAGTTAAAGGCAGTGTAACCATATGGAAGCTCTTACAAGGGTCACAAGGGTTGGAAAATTCATTCTAGACGCATTTTGCGCCTTTCCAGCCCTGTGCAGTGTTGACAATTTACCATTTTCCAACATTGAAAGGGAGAATAGGGGTGCTGACACTTGTTCTGTAGGTAATAGGGTTATGATTCCATGTTGTTGGCATTTTTCAATACAACTTGTCCATTGTTGTAGAATTTCCGACTGTTTCCAGAAAATTGCTGAAGATGCCCGAAAACCATGATTCCCGAATGCTTTCGAAAAATTTCCGGATAATTTTGTTTAGATTGCTGCGAACACTGCCGCAGATCTTTCAAGATCCCAGAGGAACATCCGAAGACGACAGTGACAGAAATGGAATGGCTAAACACGCGGCCTACCTTCAGAGGAGCAAGAACCGTTTTGTACGGCTTACTTCCGGCGTTCGTATGTCCGTCGGTCATCACAATGAGCACGTTCGGTTTGTCGCTGCGAAGTCCACCCGCTTTGGTAAACAGCTGATTATTGGCTAATTCAATTGCTACGTCAGTACGCGTCATACCGGAAGTGTAGGGGATGCCCCTGATCAGCCTGGTCATGGCATCGGGTGTCTGGTAGGCGACATCAGCGAATTTAACCGCCACCTGGGCATCGGAGTGGTAGGGGATGATACCGATGCGGGTGCCGTGGGAAGAGATCTGTAATTTGTGCACCAGGGATATGACGAATTGCTTGGCCTTTTCAAAATTATCTCTGCCGACCGAGCCAGAGCGATCCATGATGACAGCGATGTCCATTGCTCGCTTGCAGGACGAGGGAGGCCCAGGAGCTGTTGTAAGGTAAAATCACCGTAATCAAATATCCTATTTCTTTGTTACAACATATTTATTTTGCATCGTTCCAAGGTGTCCCATTCTACTGGAGTTACGTCAGGTTAAGTAACTGAGAGCTTTTCTATCTATGGATGGGACGTTAGTCAATCCCTTCGTTACCAATGGCATTAAATTCGTCGCCAGCTATTTTCTTGACCTCATAGTGAAGAAAGGCACTTTGAGGGTAAAATGTCTTACCCAAGAACACAATACGATAGGCCGTATCGGTATTCTCGACATTGGACTGGAACCAGCTTGTAAAGGAGGCTCATGTGGGGAAATATCATTAAAAAGAGGTTAATGTCATTCCCATTTGAAAAGACTCCCCGCATTAGCCTAGCCCCAGCCCGATACCAAGAATACAAATCTGATCTATTACCCCCCCGCCCCCGGCCATGACTCGCAACTATACCATCACATAATTTTATCAGGGTGTTTTCACGTGACGTCACGGAAGACATCTTGGTGTCCCAAAACAATGAAACAGCGGCCATGTTGGTGTTCCACACCAATCCCTTAAAACTCCATTTGCATTGCTGCTGGCCACGTGAACGTATAAAGTAGTTAACCTTTCAAATGACCTCTTCTTTCGATATTTTCAGCAATCTAAAAGACATTTACCTGTTTTCTCGGCGCAGTAGCGAAGATAACACACGGGAGTCTTGGGTAATTGATAGACGTAATATTCTCCACAGTTTCTGACTTTGATGTTGGCACTCCACTGACAGCAGTTCCTTCTCCAGTGGAAACAAACCTTTCTCGACACAACTCCCTGCTCCTCGGTGGGGTGCCCCCCTGTAAGCCAGCCAGGAGCATGCGTACCACAGCGATTTTTCGGAACGCATGAAGTGGGCATTGAATTACCCGCGGCGCCCATGAATCGATGCCATTTTCCAACCGTCGAGAGTTCCCTCTGGTCGCAATGCGCAGGTCCAGTCGCATGTTTGGAGCGACTTCCATCGGTGATTACCACAGGATTTTTGCATTCAGGAGGAACGTACACTGGAAAAGAGAGTTTAATCAAGGTAAGACCGGAAAACGACAAAAACATATCAACTGCCGGGCATTGAGAACATTTAAGGTTGTTTTCAAGGCCATGACTGTAAAAAAAAAAAACTGTTTTAATTGCCCCACTTCTATCAGAGTTTTAGAGCTTGCTGACAGACCCTTATAACAGTATCGCTCCCAAAACGACCATGCTTCTTTTGACTACCGTTGAAAAAATTCAATCCTTAAGCACTATTCGACACTAACACGTGACTTTTGTTGTATATTTGACTACAACGTTGCTAGAATTGACTAAGTACCTTCGTTCACAGGCGAATTGGACCAATGGCAGCAAGATAAAGGTTTTATGTGAATTATAGAAGAGAGAGCAAAATATAATAGGCGCTAAGAGATTTTTCCAGAAAACAAAGGCGGAATTGGAAAAAAGGTCCGACCGACCTTTTCATTTATCCATTAGAGTTTTCATTATTCCATTACGTTTCTTATGATATGAAATTGTCATTCACCTGTCAAAAATCATGCTCAAGATAGTGTGCCTTCCATTTCAACGCAGAAAGCGCCGAGCACCCGAGCCTCAAACACAAGCATATGATACAGCTAATAATTAGCACACTTTTTGGTGAAATCCCGTATTAAGATTATTGAGATTAGTAATGTTTAACTAAACCACAAGATCACGTACTCTGATCGCAGTTTTTGCCACTGAATCTTTTAGCACAAGCGCAAGTGTATCCTCCTCTGGTGTTTTGACATCTTGCTCCATTCTTGCAGGGTTTCAGCGTTGCACATTCATCCACGTCTGAAAATCAAGTCAATTCATTAAACATCAGTGTACATTGTCACGCTATCCCTTTACGCCAGTCCTAACATTAGCCTTTTCTCCAAATTAGAGAACATTTCTCCCTTAATGCTATAAATCACATCATCAACACAAGAAGAAAATCATAGCGTCGATTTAAATGTATTTAAAAAGTTAAAAATAGTCTCGATCCTTGTTTTATAAGGCCTTTGGTGTCGATCAAATTGACGAAAAAATTCAGGTGCTTCCCGCTGGGATAAGGGCTAACAACTACCTTAAACTGCCGCTTATAGGCCCTCCCCGGTTACACGCCAATCTTCATGTAAACCAAAAAATACATCCGGTTATAAGCCCTCCCGGATATAAGCCCCCCTGGATATAAGCCTCCCCGAGTATAACCTCCCCTCTGGCTTTCCTTGTTTCGAATTCGTTTTATTATGATGTTTTAAAGCTTAATTAGCAGTAAATCAAAAAAACCTATTTCGATCAACAAGTGCAGCTGTGGTTCGTTTCGAAACGGTTCTTTTTATTATGGTTATAAGCCCCCTCGGATATGAGCCCCTCCGTTTATAAGCCCACCTGAAAGCCCTTACGAAGTTGTGGTAGCCCAGGGCTTATAAGCAACAGGAGTAATCAGGGCCGAGGGTTAGAAGAATAGCAAAACAGCAACAAAAAGCCTAGAATGTAGACTGTCTCGGCACCAAACTATTTTTATTATTTTTATTTCCGTAATTTGCTTATTCATTAAATTAATCTTAGTTTTCATTTTTAGAGCTCAATAGCTGGATTTTGGCAGGATCACTGAAAAGCGAGTTCAATTTACTAACAGAAAACTACCTCAATGGAAAGAGGAAACCATTTCTTCACGAAACCCCTGGATGGGATGCTAGTCCATTACAAATACCTTCCAGAGTTTTGCCAGGTCAGTCAACAACTCTATACGACAGTCATTTATACTGCTGGTGATTGGGGTTGAGAAGCACTATGAGACTAAAGCAGCTCAGCTGAGAACTCAACACAACAAACACGAACTGTCGATCTTGAGTCCAACGCATTTGAGGACACTTCGCGTCCGATAAAGATTACGCCAGGAAAAATATATTCTAAAGGTCAAATCTCGAAGATTGGACTTCCAATCATTTATCAACGATCCAAACAGTAAAAACAACACTTAGTACTAAGGGCTACCTTGTTCACAGTGTCTTCCCTTGTACCAGGCTGGACATGCGCATTGATAGTCGTCGCCGACTGGTTTGCACGTTCCACCGTTCTTACAAGGATTCTGAGCCTTGCACCTGTCTGTTAAATCAAACATAATTTTGAGTTTCCTACGTTCCAAAGACCAATTACCACATCGCGAAAGAGTGAAATAGTTACAAATACGACATAGTAGTTACACCATTACACAGCATCTCAAACCGGACAACACTCGTAAGCTTATAATTCTTCTTGTTGTCTTGTGCAGCAGCTGTTATTGTTTTGGAACAAAGGATACCTAGCCATTCATGTGAGTCCTTGCGAGAGCTGTTACCTGATCCACTCAAACACTTTAAGAAGACGTCATGCTACACCAACATGGAAATAGGAGTGTACACCGAAAGACAAAAGACAAAACTTTGAATACGTACTGTGGCCTTGGTTTCCACAGTAACGGAGCCAACAGTTAGGGGTCCTCGGCAACCGATAAACGAAGAATGCCCCACAGTTCCGGACACTGATTTCTATGTTCCAGAGACAAACGTTGTTGTTCCAGTTGAAGCAAACCATTCGCTTGACAGCTCCATCATCTTTAGTAGGATGTTGACCATTCATCCAGCCCGGTGCATGGGTTCCACAATGATGTATCGCCACTGGGGAGGTAGGCATTCTGGTTCCAGCAGCATCTGTGAAGCGGTACCACCCAACAGCAAGATCGTTGCGGTCACATTTGAGGACGTTTCCTCTGTGCGTACCTGACGCACGATTGGCTTCGCTAAGTTTGGAGTAGCTGGAACATTCAGCTGGTGCTGTTGAAACCAAAATGAAAAGAAAAAATAATAAGAGCAAGAAAAAAAAATCATTCAGACTTTAAGGGATTTTCATTACTGTTGCGTTACCACGAACAAATTTCAACTGAGTGGTGTCGTTGGTGAGAACATATTTTGAAAGGTTTAAAGACAAGTATAAACAGTTCCACACATACTGTCTACTCTTATTGTAAATAAAGGAACGGACCCGAAGTAAGAATGTGTTTTATGGAGTAATTGTAACTCTTAATCATATGCAATAAAGCAAATATTGTTCTGAGCAAAAGTAAAATTCCACAGCTATAGAAAAAGTATTCTTTTGACGAATCGATCCATTTAAAGAGAATTAACAAACATCAAAATAGTCTAAAAATCGGACATTGCGAGTTATAGATTCTCCTTGAGTATGTAGACGAAAGCGTAGAAAAGCATGTGCACTTTTTAACGAGAGGATTTTTTTCACTAGGGATACTTTCATTATAATTCAATGAAATTAGACAATTCCGTAACAACAGAGAATCCAATCCTCGTTTACGGAACTAATACATGGGAATTCAGTGCCCGGATTTATAACGGCAGTCTCTTCATGACTGCCTTGGAGTCATTATATTTTACGAAGTGATACAAGTGTATGGTTAAATCGTTTGGAAATGGTGCTAGATATCTTAATATCGTACCTTGGTCACAATTCTTTCCACTGAACCATCGCCCAACGCAAGTGCATTGATATCCCCCTCTTGTATTCTGGCATTTTCCGCCATTTTGACAAGGACTACTTACTGCACATTCATCGACATCTGCAAAACAACGAAATAAACCCTTTCAGAATTACTGACGCTGGCTGCATAATTATTAACAGCATGCTAACGGCGAGAAAACTGTAACAAAGGGGTAACATCATTGAAACTGACCTTCGTCACAGTTCTTTCCTTTGTAGTTCGCGGGACATTTACAGGTATAACCACCGACAGTATTAACACAGGTTCCTCCGTTCTTGCAAGGCTTGTACGCAGTACACTCGTTCACATCTAAATTGAAATAAGGGGGAAAAAAAAAATCCCTTTTAGTTACTCAATAAAGCTTTATAATCTCCCTACATAGTGACTACACTGTGCATGTGCAAGTAGACAAGAAAGTAAAAAGTAGCCAGAGCTTAGAAAGTATCGATTCAAAACAAAAAGACGCTGCAAACCCTTAAACTCAGCTTCGTTTAGTTACTTACACGTGTACGGAAATGATAAAATTTGGAGTGAGGTAAAATTGTTTGCCTTCTCAGTGTGAAGTACTTTATAATACACGTACCTTGATCACAGTTCTTTCCAGTAAATCTGTTGTCACAAGTACACTTGTAGTCTCCGTGAGTGTTGGTGCACTTGGCTCCATTCTTGCAAGGATTGGCGGCACATTCGTCTACATCTAAAATTATCAAAGGAAATTTCGTTGTGATTTATGACAACAGATCACAAACGAGGAGACTAAGTGGTTTTGTCCACCTGACATAGTTTTTGATGTATAGATCAATACCTTTGTCGCAGTTCTGTCCTTGGAAGTTGGCGGTACACTGACAAGTGTAACTATCACCATTTGGGCTACACGTGGCTCCATTCTGGCATTGATTACGCGCCTTGCAAACGTCTGTCAGAAAAGCAAAGAATCGGTCAGACTAAGAAAGACCATAATTGATATTGTAATTACATTGTAAGTTTATGGTCTGCATTTTAGCGTGAAGTAGTTCGTTGGTGAAACACAAAGTCACCAAGAGAACCTAGAACTTAGAATTTACTCTCCTTTATCGGGAATTTGAAAAGATCTTGCTGACAACGAAGACCTTAAAACTGTCTATCTCCAACAGAAAGAAACAAGTTTTACTTCCAAGAGTTAGGCAATGACTGTTGAGAATTCTGTAATAGAGTTAAGACCGGATGGAGTTCGTTGGTATGTAAAATCACTTCCATTGAGGATTCACTGAAAAAACACCAGTCAGAAAAGAGTGTAATACAAACATTGTATATGCGGTTCGTGTTTTTTTTTTTGGGGGGGTAGGGAGGGGGTTTCTCTGAAGCTAAACTTGTTTGAAAGCTAGCTTAGGCGAGGCAAGCACCGTACACAGACAATAATGAATATCACCACATAAATTTAGAAGCGTCAAATTATCAAGTAATTGGATTTGATATTTACTGTGCCCCTTGTTTCCACAGTAACGGAACCAACAGCCAGGTGTTTTGGGCAACTTATACACATAGAATGCTCCACAGTTACGGACATCAATGTAAACGCTCCAATGACAGAAGCTACTGCTCCAGTGGAAGCAAACCTTTCTCTTTACCACTCCATCTTCCTTCTTAGGATGTTCGCCAACCATCCAGCCCGGTGCGTGTGTCCCACAGTGATGTTGTGGAACTTCTGAAGTAGGCATTCTGGTTCCTGCAGCATCCGTGAAGCGGTACCACCCAACGGCGAGGTCGTTACGGTCACACTTGAGTGTGTTCCCTCTGTGTGCACCCGAGGCACGATTAGCATCGCTAAGTTTGGCGTAACTGGAACATTCAGCTGGTGCTGTTAAAAACAAAAGGAAAAGGTACAATAAGAAACAATAAGAGCAAGAAAACTCAATTCAAGGTTCGCCGTAAGTTTTACTGCTGTGTGACCGCGAAGAAAATTTCAGCTTATTGGTATCGTTGGCGACAGCATATTTAGAAAGATTCAAAAACTAGAATAAAACGAGTCTCCTGTATGCTGTGTCTACTCTTGATGTACCGTTCCTCACGCATCAATAACGGGAGAATCAGTGACAGGAAAACTGCATAAAAAGAAATCTTGAAGTCATTTTGTCGTTTAAATGTAGGTTTCAAGACAAGGTTGGCTACACTTTCTTCGGCTCATGATTCTGTTAATGATTCTGTGTCCATTGCAGGTTAGCTTCAGCTAAGTCGGCAGGTTTTGCCTTAAAATTTGTCGATACACGACAACCGGTTATCGGAAGGTCAAAATCTCACCTCTCATCTGGAGAAAAAATGCTCCAAGCTTGGGTCGACGACGGATTAACATCTCTCTCATATTTTTACCACTTATCATATAACTATGCTTTGACTTGGTAGCCACTTTTAACGACAAAACTCGCCATGTTCCATAATTTTTCGTCGTTTTTGTTTACATGCAAAATGGTCTAAGTTATCAATGCTAATGGTGTCTTCAAAACTGAACCAGAAGTCAGCACATTCCAGAAATGGTGCTAGCGCCTGCTTAAACAAGAAATCCATTGTTGACAAATTAGGTTTCAAATTTTAATGTTCTACCTTGATCACAATTCTTTCCAGTGAACCATCCTCCAACGCAGGTGCATTGATATCCCCCTCTTGTATTCTGGCATTTCCCGCCATTCTTACAAGGATTTCTTACTGCACATTCATCTACATCTATCACAATAACAAATGAAACTCTTTAAGAATGGAGGTCAAGAATAGGGGAAGGATTTTACGAGCTCAAATATTGAAAATGGTGACGAAAACTGCAATCGTTGAGCCATCAAAGTTGTTTCAGGGGTTGCTCAGAGAGTTTACCTACGGTAAGAATGTGAAAGGGGTTCCATTTTCTATGGAAGGAATATGAACGGGCTACATTTTCTGTCAAAAATGGTATTTAAAAGTGTAAGGGTTTGTTAGTTGGAGAGAAGCCTCCCCGAATAAAACTTTGTTGGGTGGCGCCTCCCCCCTAACCCCTCCTCTCCCCACCGGGATATGAGGGAATGGGGGTTAACAGAATATATTTGGAAGACAACGGTAAAAGTAACACTGTAACCAACCTTCGTCACAGTTCTTTCCTTTGTAGTTATCAGGGCACTGACAGTTATAGCCGCCAACAGTATTAACGCAGGTGCCTCCGTTCTTACAGGGTTTGTACACAGTGCACTCGTTCACATCTAAGTTAAGAAAAATTTAAGTCAGTGAGAGAGTTCAGATTCCTACCCTATATCTCTCCAGGCCATAAGGCACATAAGGCTTTGACATTCTCTTTCCACCCACATCGATTTGCTGCTAGAGCCCTGACAGTCCAGACAGCTCAGATTACGGTCTGAAAATAATAATTACGATCGCTAGCGCAGAGCTCCTCTCCTCATTTACGGTTGTGAATTTCTTCATGTCTTCCAGCATGTCTTACAAAAGTTGTCAGAGACTCACTCCCAAGCTTCTTCATTGCCAACAGAATCCAAAATGATCTAGCTATGTCTTTTGGTTTCTTATAACGTATACGCCTTTCCTGTGAGGATCTGCGTTTAGTAACTATTAATAGTACGAAAGTCGTACAAGTAAGAGTTATTTGCAAGGTCGAGTCGATTAATTTTGTTTTTCTTCCTTCGAAATTTTTAAAATTAAAGTATTCAAATGAAGCGAACCTTGATCACAGTTCTTTCCAGTAAATCTGCTGTCACAAGTACACTTGTAGTCTCCGTGAGTGTTGGCACACTTGGCTCCATTCTTACAAGGATTGGCGGTACATTCGTTAACATCTGAAAACAATAAAAGAAGTCAGGCTGTTGACAAATGATTTATGACAACAGATAACGAACGAGGAGACTACGTTTTTCGTCTGGCACAGTTTTTGCTGTGAAGGCCGATACCACTGTCGCAGCTTGGCGGTACAACTACTAAATTTGTAACGCAAAATGAATCAAATTATGCTGGGAGACAAACTTGTTGTTCCCTTTCCGAGAACTAACTACATGAAAAATAGTTCTAGTTACAGCGGCGCAACCCTTTGGAACAGCTTACCCTGTAACATTAGAGAGTTTGGTTCATTGAAACAAGTTAAACGCTTTCCCTATCATAATTTTTAAACACACGGCATTGCATGGCAATCAGATTCACAGGTAGAATATTGTTGTACGTTAATATAATATTAGGATTAGAATTTCAGGTTTAGGATCTTAGACATTTTATTGGAATTTATTGTACCTGATGAATTTTTACCGTGTATTAATACTGATTAAAGATAACGACAAAGTGTAGCTTTCGCTATTTCAGCTACACAACAAAGATCGTTAATTTGTGAGCACTATCGAAACGGTCAAGATTTTTAAAGGGATCCTTTGGTCTGAAGTCTCTTCTCATGTTTGCTCTTTGCATGTTACATCATGACTGTCGACTTGGTTTTAAACATCTCACAACCAAGGCTTTTTTCTCCTGTATAAAGTAACAGTGGGAATTTCGTCTTACTGGAAGTGGTTGTCAGCGGTGATCTGACCACTTAAAAAGCGATCCCTGTCGGCGGAACAGGTGAAACTCCAAGAGTTTCTGCTTTCCACTACCCAATCAAACACTGGCTCGACCCCTCACGAATACCCACGAAAATGGTCACGTCAGTTTGACGCAATGAGCATACGTCGTGTTGCTTAGCAACGTGGCGACAAAAACCGCACGCTCTTACAATTCTAGGTGTTTGGAATAATCTTTATTTGGGATACGTTCCTACTGATCTTTATAGGATAAGACTTACCTTTGTCACAGTGTTCTCCTTGGAAGTTGGGTGTGCACTGACACGTTTGACCATCACCATTCGGTTGACAGGTTGCGCCATTTTTACAAGGGTTGGTAACCCTGCACACATCTAAAACACAAAATAAAATTATGTCCCGTCAGCGTCCGTTTTGAAAAACTTGCGCTTCCGTTCTATCCAAAACGGGAAGTAAAACGTTGACACTCTTTGGTCTCGATATGCTGATTTGGGATTTTACATCACGCGGACATCACGCGGACAAAAGGCGAGCATAAAGTGGACAAGCGCGTTTAAAAAAATAAAATCAGTTTACCTCATTCGCCATTTCCACATCCCACATAATACACCTTGTTTGCCCCCCCCCCCCCCCCCCCCCCCC